TTCCGATCTTTCCCCAAGTCCAGGAGACCATGTGATTAGGGTCAAATTACATACAGTTGCCTGGGAAGAGCAGCTGGATACTCAGGTGAGAGTCCAATGACCCTGATTACCCCTCCTCCTTTAATTAGATAGTTAAGTCAACAAGTCTAATTGTGATGCTCCTTTGTTAGTGGACACAGCTGAAGCCATGAGAATGGTAGTTGTTTGACTCAGACGAAAGTAGTGTGTAGCATCATCTTGTTAAAAGAACATGGAATCTAAATTATATATATTAGATAATGTAATAAGTTAATGTCACCCATGTACACATTGTGTTTTGTAAGTTTCCAGGTAAACCTTTTAACTTATGTAGTTTAGAGAGTTGTATACCAAAACCTTGCTTTAGGTGGAAAAAAGCAATTGGTATATAGTTAAACATTATCGAATTGATGTTTACAACCTCCAGCATAATCAACTCAGGAAAACTGTGCTATAACCCTGTTTAGACTTTAATAAACACTTTTAATAACCAATTATAAACAAATCTATAAATAAATTTACCAAACAATTAATATTTTACCTTAAAGATATAGAGATGAACAATTATCTTAAATATATTATTATATTGTATAAACTTTGAGATGCCCTTGTAAGCCTTGAAGCAGGTTTTAAACAACCAAGTCTCCTTTAAAGGTTTAGAGATGTTTTACATAGACTTGGAAAATGTTTATTCTATATAAAACATATCTAAACATAGAGATAAATTGCACCCTGGAGCAGAAGCAATCATTCCTTAAAAGTTAATTTATATTTTTAATAGGAACCATGTTATAATTTAATAATTTTAGTTTACAAAAGAACTTACTTCCAAGTCAATTTGCTATCTAGTAAATTATTATTTAGTATTTTTTTTATAAGTCTTAAACATAAATCTACACATTCATAACAGTCTCATTCAATAAATATTGTGGTTAGATACAATGTCACAACAAACTAGTTTCAAAACCAAGACCGATTACTTTGATGAAATTTTGATCAGATGTATATAAAAGAAACTCTCAAAAGCCAGCAGTACTTTACATATACATCCATATACATACACACACATACACAGATACACACACACACATACACACATACATACATATATATATGAGAATCTCATCTCTAAATGGCTGTGTTGGACAAAGCTATACATACTGATGAGGGAGAATGAAGGAACTGGTACATATTTAAGCAATATCAAATTGATGTTTACAGCTTTTAGCATAATGAATTAAGGAAAACTGTGATGCTTTAGTTACTGACTTAGGAATTCTAGGTAGAAGATCTCTCTCTCTCTCTCTCTCTCTCTCTCTCTTTTTCAAAATCTATCCTGTTGTTTATTAAATAGTTAAATTTATCTTTGTATTACCATACATTTTACATTAGTCTGTGTTAGTAACATTACTCAGTATTGTGACCAAATAGAGAATCCCATGAACTACTTTTACTATAGACAGTAATACCCTCTGTTGAAATTAGTTTACAACTTAGCTGTTTTTAATTGTACAGTGCATTTACTCTTAGGATGTTTTGTTGTTCTTCTCCTTGTCACAGGGTCAGGGGGCCAGCCTGAACCTGGAAAGGTCTTGGAGAACATATCTTGAGATAATAGGCTTGAGTCTGAAGTGGGAGGGCCAATCCCATCTCCAGAGTCAGTGAGATCAAACAGCACATGACAATTTACCAATATAATCAATACAAAAAGGCATTTGATTTTCTTTAGTCTAAAAGTTTTGAATTGTTTATCTATATTTTACTTTTAAACTAAGGTAAGACTGTTAACTTGCATGGTGAATTCCTTTGAAGAGGGCCGTCAGTCTGGATTGGAAAAAACATTTTATAATTTATTATACATGATCTTGGATTAAGTACCCATGACCTGGGGAATAAGAAACACAGAAAAGGCTCACCTCTCTCTGCTTCCCTGGGCCTGCACAAACCGCAGGCCTCTGTTCA